TCAAGAGCTGCCGATCCGGGCGAATCACCACCACGCAAAAAAGTCAAGTATGGTGATCTGGGTTTAGAAGAAGAAGATGAAGAGGAGTGATGCAATTTGACACTTTTTCATTGCACGCTAATCGCAGCAGTATTATTTAGGCTGCAGTTTTATTGATAGCACAGAAGCTTACCGCAAACGCAGCTTAAAAGTCAATACCCCCGCCATATTCACCCTCGATGTTAGGCGGGAGCATTCAGAAAATAGTTCAAAGCAATAGCAAGTGCCAACAATCATCGCTCTCTGACAAGCTGTCGATGGCTCCCTCTTTCGAAGATTGTCTGACTTCTTAGCATGCGCCAGTACCAGTTCACCACCGAAACGAATGAACTACTTGTAGAGGGACTGGTTATCTCACTGGCGGAATCGAATGTTCGATTCTTCGCACGCAGCAGTGCTACTTCAGATTGCTCCACAACAGCTGGCATCTGAGCTTTTTAATCAACTCCGAAATATTTCAGCAGTCCTGTTTGTCTGTGTTGCTTTTTGCCATTGTCTAAAGTTGGAAGCTATGAATGAAACAGTACCGTAGAACGTGTCGTTGTCTACGCTAGTTTCCATATCCTCGCATTTTTGGAATTACTTTTTAAAACAAATTTTCGGCGTTTAAAAATTTGACTCGTGACTCAGGCGCTATTTTAATGTCCCGTCTGGGGCGCACTTTAACTAAGCTTCTGTAGTGCTCTCCTGGATTACCTATCAGCATTTGAATTGACAGTTATCCTGCAACAATTGCCCGGCAACTACTTAATGTATCTATTTGTCAAATGGGATAATACTGTATATCACGAATACAGCACAAGATTAATGTAGAATTTATAAGGTTTCTGAGGATGAGTTACACAGATACAATTAACAACGATTTGTATAGTTGTAAAGGAGGGGAAAAACAAAAAAAAAAAACAAGGCCGAAGATTTCAGTGAATGCAAGAATCAGCATGCAATGCGGCAAAAATGACAGCAATATCGCGTATCGCTTTATTGTTAAATAAGGAAACAAGAACGTTGTACTTCAAGGAAAATCTTGTGCAGTTTACCGTACTGTTTGTATTCGAATACGGCAGCCTCGTTCTCCCCTAAATTCCTGATTTCCAGCACGCTGTCTTTGTACGACAGTCTTTTTCCGTACTTTCTGTTCTAAATTTTGATTAGCATTCGATTTAACTCATTTTCTTTGAGATTTTCTACCACCTGGCAAAATTGCCTGGACAAACGCTTTGTAGCTCTGGTACTACTGGAAAGCCTAAAAATTTCGAGCGTAGCTCTGCAGGGCCTTTTCTGATAATTCGAAAGCTCTCAGAAAGTCGGAGCTGCTGTCGGTTTTTTTCTGAGCAGCCCTTGAAAGAAAGAGAGAGAACTATCGACAGTCTTGTCACTGAGTAGCCACTGCTAGCAGTATTCTGCCAGCCAAATGGCTTTCGTTTGTCCCCTCTCAGGATGAATTATGTAGGGGATATACAGTAAGGCTCTTTGAAAATTACATTTTTTAAACGAACCAGTAAGTACGTATTATGTTTTTCATATTTTAGCTGTAAACACACATAGAGCATCGGATTATGTGGGGGAGTTTGACGATTCTTCCAGGTTGTTGACGCCGGCCTACCGCTTCAATGCCCCCAGGACCGAAATTGATAGCGTGTTTGTCCAAGCACACGAATAAATACAGTAATGATTACTCGAGGCTGTTTGTGTAATTTATACAATTGCTGTAGCAGATTAAAAAGTAATCATGTTACGAAATGTTGTGGAAGGCCTAGCGCAGCTTCACCTGACGTAGAGGGTACACTAAGAGTGAATCGTTGGCATGGGATATTCACAACCACTGTCCAGAGGATTTTGCTAACGAAAAGTGTAGGAAGCACAGCTGTTATAATATCGTCTTTTTTCCAGAAACAACTGGCTGGAGGAAGATGAGGGGGAGGAGGGAGAAAGGCGAGAGGAGATGGGAACTGAATTTTCTAAGTAGCAAAATATCGCATCCATTTGTCATATATTGCGAAGGCGAAAGCGCAGCGGTTCACTTAGGAACGAGTGAAACTTACCCCTATTAAGTGGTGATTATGCCATCTTCGATAATGAAGCCGTCGTTATCAATAAAGACGTTCTCGACTTGTGGCCCCAAATCAAGTTTCAGTGTCTCACCAGCTATGACTGGGATCAGTTTGTAATCGCAAAGCCCAACAGTGACCAGTGCTGCCACAGCGCAAACAGAATGAAATTCATGATTTGAACACTCGTGCGCTGACAGCAACCTGCACTCTTCAGGACACTTCCGCATTCAATGAATAAGCGAAAAAATATGACTGCCCTTTTACATGTTGCTCTTTTGCATATGCAAATATTAACGTATCCAGGCGCTGAGGTAGTGCACAGTTACAGATATCTTTCAGCGTACGTTTATCAGCGTTAGCTGCAAAATTAATTCGAATGTCATTGGCGACGCGCACCGGCCGAGCCCATGCGATAATGCGTTTTTGCAATGTTTCGTGCTCTGATGAGACCGCTCCGAAGCCTAGTAACTAGAAGTGTGTGACATACTGGTTCTCGAATTTCGGGAAGTTAGCTGTCTACGCTGTACTTGGACAGGAAACATCCCCTTAAAATCTCAGATCCTAGCTATCTCCCAGATACCGAGTTACCCATACTCCCGCCAAGAACTTCCATGGGGCCGTAAGTGAGAACCACGTATGTCGAGGCGCTGAATTTGATAACATTAAGTTGTACATGAGCGAGGAACATTCTCTGAAAATTTCAGCCTCCTAGCTTTCCTGATTCCTGGGTTACCCATTTTCGCACCAAAAATTTTCACGTAGCTGTACGTGAGAACCACGCACAGAGAGGAGCTGAATTTAGTAATTTTAAATTGTAAATTTGTTGGGAACATTCCCTGAAAATTTCAGCCTCCCAGCTTTCCTGGCTCCCGAATTAGCTATTTTCCCGCCAAAAATTTCCACGGGATCGTACGTGGGAACCACGCATGCCTGGTGGATGAATTTGATAAATTTTAGTTGTATATGAACTGAGAAGCCCACAGTCGCTGCAAAATCTGCTAAGTGAGCTCGTCACAGAAACGAAGAAGATTGGGCTCAC